AGAACTTTCAAAATCTAAAGCAGAAGGAGCAAACATCCCAGTCCCTTTCCCAACCCATCCATTTGAAATGTTAAAATGCCATTACCAGGAGTTCTGTGCACAGGCAGAATTATACAATTGGGCTCACAGATGAAATATCATTCCTGCCTCCACCCAAATAATCACAACGCCCACAGCTCTACTCAAAACTAGAAAATCAAGCTCACCTCAGCTCCTGTCTCCAGCAAAAGCCCTAATAAACTATGCAACATGAAGTGGTAGCATTTGTGTCCCAGCCAGCAGTAAACACCCCAGACAGTCCTCTCTTCTGCCAGCCTCAAGAACAGCAGAATAAAACAGGAATTTATGCACAGACTCTGTCAACTGCTAATTTCCAAACACAGCCAAGGCACAATGATGAAAAGCCCCACTCAAAGACTATTATTCTTTTTAATCCTTAGATGCCATGCTGCAGCCCATTTTCCATAAATACTGGATTTTAACTAACTCTACTAATTAAAAAAACACATGATAATGACATCTAACTAGTCAGTAACAGTAAGGTGGGACTTTCTGAGCTGTTCTTACCCTGCTGGAAGAAATAAAACCCTTTTTTCCCCACCGTACAGTCAAAGAATTCCCAAATTACTACAGGGACTTCCAAAGAGCCAGAGACAGGGAAAGTGCATCTAAGGCAGATAAGAAACAATTAGAGTCTATTTTAATACCAAGTCAGGAGCAAATCACCAATTAAAACTTCTCAAGGGTAATTATGTGTAAATTCTACCTCTGCTGTTTTCCAATCATAGCAACAGAAACTACAGCAGGGTTATAAATAAAACTCATTTGCAAGCAACTGCAGAGAAGAGTCACCAGTTCCTCAGCGAGGTCCTGCAAAAGCAAGAGCCTCCTTTCTTTTATTGGCCTTTAATAAACAGAAAGAAACATAAAGCAAGTCCTGCAGCCGTGCAATTGCTCAACCCTGAAGTGTGTTTGGAACGGTGACAGGAAGAAAAATACAGTTAACTCCGAGAGCGAAAAAAAATTAATGGCACACAAATGTTTCTCCAGTGTCATAACAGGATACAGCCGAGCTCGGGCCGGCCTTTGGTGGCCAAGCAGAGGTTGGAAATGGCCGAATTTCAGAATTTCAGCCTGGCCCCAGCGTGGCCTTGGGAAGAATAAAGGCCTTATCTCACCCGGCCATGCACAGCACACAGCAACGCCCAGAGCTGGCCAGTGTCCGGCCAGCAGAGCTCCAGAGGCAGGGAACGTGGGCACACTCCAGCAGCAACAGGAAAACTCCTCCAATAAACCCTGCCCAGCTGCCTGGGTCACAGATGGATCTCAAATCTGCAACCAAAAACAGCATCCAGCAACAAAAATCCAACCCAGCACCAGTGAGGGGTGAAAAATAAGATTATTTTTTTTTTTTCAGGTTAAAAGATATGGGAAATCTCGCCTAAATCCAGAGCTGGAGGAAGCTCAGTCACCTGGCTGATTTTAGATACCTTTAGGATAAGAAAGGTCCCCTGGATGTGCAGATTTCCTTCCACTAATGATCAAGTCGAGCCAGATGAGCAGCTCAGGGATGTCTACCTCAAAAGAGTTCCTAAGCTCAGCAGGATAAATGCCACCTTAGGAGGCCTCTGAACAAACACAGCACAGCTAAGGGAGGATTAAATTAAGAGGGTGTAAATGTTTACAAACATAAAGGAGCAGAGCAATAAGGCTGGAGATGAAGAGTTTGATACGCTCCAATGGGCACCGGGACTATGAAAAAAAAAGCAGCTGACAAAGTAAAAGAACATCCTGAGGGAAAGAAGGGGAAGTTAAATCAGTGTTTAACTCCCTCAAATCACCAGCAGCCGTGCAAGGCACCACGGCTCTCCTGGAGAAGGCTTTGCTGATGTGTTTTTAAGCCTCAAGTGCTCTTTAGGAGATAGTTTTCTGTCTGCCTGCACCCTTTAGGTGCTCCCCCAAATGAGCAGTGTGTGTCAGGAGCTCCTCCAACTCAGCACAGCCATTAAACTCTCAGGAGCCTCAACAGCTGCTCTGGCTTTTTGGTTTAAAGCCTGATATTCCCCCACTCCCCAGGCAGTCGCTTCCCTCCAGACTGAAGGCACTTGAAGAAAAAGACACCAGAAATCGATGCTGCTTTGGGAGTTCTGATAACAGAATCTGAGCATGACCACTACCAAAACTAGCTGGGTTAAGGTTTAATCCATAGAGAGAATGAACCCAGACACAGATATGAACTGGCCTGACTGTCTTTCAGCAGTGCCAGACACTAAAATCCATTCAACTTTCCTGGGAAAGAGAACAAAAATAAAAGAAGAAAGAAAGAAAAAAAAAACAAAACAAAAAAAAAGGAGGGGACTTAATAAAAACATCATTTATCATCCTGGTTCCAGAACAGCATTAGAAATGGCCATTCATACACTCCTGATTTATGTATTTAATGGTAATCATGACATCATCAAGAGATATAAAATATGTCAAGGATAAGACAAGTGCAGCCTGCACAAGGGAAATGTGACAGCTGTCAAATCATTACCACCTTAAACTGCAGAGATACCAGAGGAAATATCTGCTGTCTGTAATATGGATTTAGGCAGCTCTATATATGCAAAATGCAAATATGTAAAGCTAATATGGAGAAAAATCCAGGCCCAAGCTACCCTATTACATTCCTAATACCATCTGGCATGGATGAAAGCTGGGTTTGCCTGGTTTAAGGCAATTCCCACCTCAATCCCACCAAGGAAGGTGATTGACAAACACAAAGAGAATTGAACATGTCAGATGATTTATCCACGTAGACCTAATGACAGTGGAGGCATCAACATTATTTCTATTGCACCTGCTTTGCATTCTGAGCTTCAGAGGCAGACTGAAAGAGGCAACAGAGACTCCCCAGCCCTGAAGGGAAGGGGAATATTCTGTAGGGACAAGAGTGAACAAAACCCACCCTCTCCAAATCCTGCACAATGCCGGGGATGAAAAGGAATGGCAGAGATGGGAACAAACACCACCAGCACGTCTGGGGTTCTGCTGAAGGGTTCAGCCAGGGAATAAATCAGAGAATCATCAGAGAATCCCAGAATGGATTTGGCTTGGAGGGACCTTGAATCCCATCTCATTCCCATCCAGGGACACCTTCCACCACTCCAGGGTGCTCCAGCCTTGGACACTTCCAGGGATCCAGGGGCAGCCACAGCTGCTCTGGGCACCCCGTCACCATCCTCACAGGGATTCTGCCCTCATGACCAATCTAACCCTGCTCGGAGTTTGAAACCATTCCCCCTTGTCCTGTCACTCCAGGTCTTTTAAAATAGTCTCTCTGCATCTTCCTTGCAGGTTCCTTCAGGTCCTGGCAGGCCACAATGAGGTCACCCCAAAGCTTCTCCTCTCCTGCCTGAACCACGACTTTGCACCCCAGAGCTGGGGCTGCTTCAGGCCAGAGGTGAAAAATAGTGACAAGAAAAGATCCAGTTCCCCCACATTCCCCCAGCCATCCCAGAAATCCGAGGGCTGTGGAGACAGCTCCTCACCTGACATTAAAAGCCTTTTGATCCAAAACCTTAATGGAACACCAAACAGAAACATCCCCCTGACATGACTGGGAGCAAAAGGAAATGAGACATTTTTTTATTTGGCTGCTCCAATTCAATAATGGAAAGTATTTTGTTTTACTAACAAGTAAATTAAATTCCCTGTTCTCGTGTTTTTCCTTCCCATGCATCACTCAGCTGCTCCTTGGGATGAAAATCCTGTCGTTCTTTTTTGATATCATGCAACTGCCACAAGACATATGGCCTGAAGTACGTAACAAAATCCTCCCAAATCCACTGAAATGCCTTTTTACTGTCACTGCCTTGCCTGCTACAGAGAAAAACATCCTGCAACTCAAATCACGTCACTGCAAAAGAGAAAATTCTGCTAGTACAAACTACAAAATTAATTGCCAAGATTTAATACTGTGTGAACAGTTGTAAACACAGATTGCACACAAGTCTGAGCCCTTTGGACTGTGCTGTGAGGACTTGTGGCGTCACGAAAAGGCCTGGGTTTAAGTGAGAACCACACTCAGTCTCTCTCCCGTCCACACCTGGAGCCTAAAATTGGTGAGCTCAAGCACCCAAAGCATCTTTGCTCCATCCCAGCTCCAGCTTCGCTGCTGTGCCACAACTGCTTGGTCATGAAAGGCCTTTGCCACACACCTTCACACCTTAACCACCGAACAGCCACGATGAAGATACAATAAAATACACTACATGGTTTTTACCGCACACAGTGTCAAAAAAAGGTATCTTTTCTTCTCGTCAAAAAAAATCTGAAGACACTCATTGCACTCACTCGCATGTTAAAATGTTTCCTACTTGACTTTTTTTTTGGTCACGTTTTTTTTTCCCTTCCTCTGAAACGCCCAAGCACAAACAAGAGGACTCCAGAGGTAATGAAAGGCACCTGCAGAGCAGCCCAGGGGCTGAGCAGGTATCTGAAGGCAGGTTCCTGCTAAGGTAGACACCAGCAGACATTCCTGCTTGTCAACTCTCCCTCCTGCCCTCACCTGGAGTGACCTCTCGGCAGTACTTGACCCAAGGAGACCCAAGCGCATCCTCAACACGCTCTCTGAGTTCAGGCTTGAGTTGGATACCAAATTTTGGTGGCTTCTGCTGCTCCAGCTCCTTGCAGGAACCCTCGCTTTCGGTGTTCCCCGCAGCACCAGCCCATCCTGGGAGCTGAATTACCACCCCTGGCTCCTACAAAGTCAGCCTGGCAGGCCTGAAAGCTGTTGGACTTGAAATACTCCGGTTTCAAAGTTAACCCAGTTGCTTTGACAGTCAGGACACCCTCGGTTCCCAGAACCTGTGATTTAATCCTGCTCTTCTGATCCTGTCACTGAAGCCAGAACACAAAGTACGTGAGCTCTGCGAATATTCACTCTCCAAAAAAAGAAAAAAAATAAAAAAAATAAAAAAAAAAAATAACAAGAAATCTCATTTTATACCCTTTTCTCCGTGATTGTGGACTGTGTGCCACTCATTGGAGCCTTTGGCAAGAAGTCGTATTATCCAATTTACATTTTACTCTTATTGCAGGAATATGAACGAGGCTTTGCCCCTTACATGCACCGAGGTTCAGGATCCAGCCTTGCTCCAGAAGAGGCATGCACAGAGGACAAACTCAGTTCAAGGGCAGGAGAAGGGAACAAAAAAAAAAAAAAACAAAAAACAACCAAAAACCCAATCCAAAACAACTCCAAAACTCTTCTCGCAGTCACCCAGAATATCCAAACCACGGAAGTGGGGCGCGCGGGGGAATAAAGGAAAAAAAACTCCAGCAAGAAAAAAACTCCAACAACAAGAAACAACAAAACAACCTCGGTGGACTCGGGAGGAAAAAAAAAAAAAGAAAACCTTTCGAGCAGCGGCCGATCCTCCCCGGCGCGGGGGGCCCGTTCCCGGCCCCGCCGGGCTCAGGGGCTGCGCTCGGGGGGCGGGCGGCGCTCCCCGCCCGCGGCCGGGCCCATCCCCGCTGCCCGCCCGCCCCGACCCCCGCCCGTGCTGCGCCCGCAGGGGGTCGGGCAGGGCGGCCGCCTCTAGGCCCGGGGCTCCATCCCCCGCCGCTCCGCCTCTCTCTCCGGCCCGGGACCCAGCGGGGCGCTGCGGGCTGGCTGTGCTCTGCTCGCCGCTCCGCGCTTCGCTCAGGGCCGAGTCCCGCCGCGCTGCCGGCGCCGCTGCGCTGCTCTCCCGGCCCGGTGGCGGCCCCGCTGCGCTGCTGGGAGAGGCGGGAGCGGCGCGTCCGGGGGAGCCTGCGCCGAGCCGAGCCGGGCCGGGCTCGCCCCTCCCCGGCGCCTCCGGGGGGCTCGTACCTCCGGCCGCTCCGCCCCGCCGCCGGATCCCTCCGCCGGCCGCCCTCCTCTTCCTCCTCTTCCTCCTCCCTCTCTTTTCCTTCTCCTCTTTCCCCTCCTTCTCCTCCTCCTCCTCCCTCTCAGCCCTTCCCCCGGTTCCTGCCGAGGCCTTTCCCCTTCGGGAAGCGTTTTCCAGACCCGCGGGGTGTTTCCTTCTCTTCCCGTCTCCGCTCGGTCGCAGCCGCTCCTCCCTCACCCTGTGTCCCTGCCGAGCAGCTTTCCATCCCCCTGCGTCCCTAACCCGAGGATATTTCCCTTTTCCCCTTTTCCCCTTTTCCCCTTTTCCCGTTTTTCCCTTCTCCATTCCCCATCCCCAGCCAGCCGACACTTGGCCGTGTCACCAGAGCAGGGAGCGCCCGCGCCTCCATCTCCATGGAAAATATGACACAGGCGAAACTTGGAGCAGAAAGAAAATAAATAAGCAGCGAATGAAAAGAGTAGAAGTGCCAGGAGCTGAGCAGAATGGAGCCTCAGCCTGTGCTGTTTGCTCCCAGGCCTTTCGTGGCTCTGTTGTCCAGTCCTGCATTTCCCACGCGTGTTTCGTCGGGAATTTTCGTAAAGGTTAAGGTCAGCATAAATCCAAGAAGTGATCCCTCCCTGCACATACATTCCAGAAACACTGCTGCCGAGGGCCTGTTCCTGCTCCCCTTCAAAAGCTCCAGCAGCAGAAGATGAGCCACACGGGGTGTTTGGGCATTTAAATTTCAGCAGGTTTGGATTTTCCTCAGCCGCAGCCTGAACACAAACTCAGCCTTGCTGTAATTCCTGCCCTCCATGCCGTGTACAGCACAGTCCGAGAGAGAAATGCCTGTCTGGAATCTGCACATAATCCCAGGATGGTTTGGGTTGGAAGGGACCTTAAAGATGATTTTGTTCCAACCTTCCACTATCCCAGCTTGCTCTGACCTGCCCTTGGACACTTCCAGGGATCCACCACAGCTTCTCTGGGCAACCTCACCACCCTCACAAGGAATTATTTTTTTCCTAATCATGTTTTTTTTCTCTGTCATTGTGAAGCCATTCCCCCTTGTCCTGGCACTACAAGCCACTTGTTCTCCAGCACCTGGAAATAACATCTACAATTTTTTTTCTCTGTCAGTGTGAAGCCATTCCCCCTTGTCCTGGCACTACAAGCCACTTGTTCTCCAGCACCTGGAAATAACATCTACACCTGAGACCCTCAGGAAACTTCCATGCTACTCCTCCAGAAATTACAGCTCGTGAGCAGCACAGATGTGGAATGAAAAGCAGGATGTCTCCACTGCCAGTAATTCCTGCCCCCTCTGCACAAAGGAACTTGTGGAACATCAGCCTCCCCCAGCAAATGCCAGCAGACTAAAATAACCTTATTAGCTAATCCAAATCATCTAGGACACCACGCTTCTTCCCTTTAATTAATCTTGCCGGGATATACTTCAAAGCCGGGACACTGGGCTTGGAAAGAGGCTGGAGAACAGGCTCTGGAAAGTGGGGAGCAGCTCCCTGGCTGGGACACAGGACCATACCTTGCCTGAGGCTACATCCAGCCACGGCTGCTCTGGACCCCGGAGCTGTGTCCTGCTCGGAGCGAGGGTCGGGAAGCCAGCAGAATGTCTGAGCGCCCGAAGAATTTGTTGTTTTGATGGAGCTCAGAGCAAAGAGGGGAAGCGTGGGATGAAATCATGTTCATGATACTTCACGTATATACGCAGGACATTTCTGCTTCCTTTTTTGGTTTCCTTTTAGGGGAAAATAGAGGCTCGGGGGAAAAAAAATAAATAAATAAAGTGTGGGAGTGCAAGACAAGCAGCCACGTCTGCCTCTCCTTCTGCAGCTGTGTGCAGTACAGTCATCAGTGCTGATGAAGTGACTGAATGCCTCCATATATCTATATTTATTTATTATATATATCTCTTTATTGCATCTTCTCTGCAATAAATCCCTCCCTGCTTTTAACTTTGGGAACATCGAGTACTCTGCCTGGAGAGGGGAAGGCTCCTGGGAGATCTGATTCCTGGCAGGGCCAGCATTTGCATATTAGGCCTCGATGCTTTTTTATTACTTTAATTATATTTTATTGTGCATGACAACATAACGAGAACAATTAGCTGGAGGAAATCCTAAGACATAGATTCTGAAACTCTAACTGCTTCTCTTTTCTGCAAATGCTGTTGTTTTGTTTTTTTTGGTGGGAGCTGGTTACATACTTAGATTAAGATAGGTATTTATGATAATTCTGTTTTACAGCCTGAAATACAGGGTGAGGAAATCAATAAGCAATTACAGTGTGCCCTTTTTTTTTTGTTGTTGTTGTTGAGCTCTGAAGTTGTCACTTCACCTGAATTTACACACAGAACCATCCCATGGCAGCAGGGTTGGAGCAAGATGATCTTTCAGTTCTCTTCCAACACAAAACCATTTTGTGATTCTCTAATTAACCTCCTCAATCTGTTTTTTAGAGCTAAGCAGGACCCTGAAAGGGAGGAGATAATTCTGATGGAGTAAAACTTCTTATTTTACCTTAAAATAACGGTCAGATCCTTGGAGGTGCTTTAGAGGCGCTCCTGTAAAATCAGATTTAGAGAGGAAGTGTTGAGCGAGGATCCTTTGGCCAAATCCCCTTTCCCAGGCTCGCACCGAGGAGCTGTTGCCATCTGCTGGGAAAGCCTCGAATGGCTCCTCCAACCTGAGCTCCCGGGGCAGGTAAAAGGTAAGGAATTTGGGAAAAAGAACATTCCCAAGAGCTCTGGGTTCCTGGAGCTCTGGAATGCTCCGAGGGGGTTTGCACCGCTGTCAGCTGGGCATAAACAGAGATAAAAATCAGCAAAAAGCGCTGCTTTAAGGGTTTAAGTGTGGATAAACAGTGCCTGGGAGCGTTTCTCTTACAGACAAATTTCAGTTTGTGTTTCAGATGGGATGATCAGCTGAGCTCCACCACAAAAATTAAGTGGGTAAAGACTCTTTTGCTCCTTGCAAGTAATCAATTTCAAGCCAGTGAGAGAATGCTCAGGTATTTGGAACTGTTATTTATGCTCACTACAAGTTGCTCATCCAGCTCCTGTTTTTCTGCTGGTTTTGCAAGCCAGCTGCCAAACCTTTACATCTTGGAGGGGAAAAAGAAAAGGGAAAACAATTCCCAAGTTCATTTCCCAAATGTGCCTAGAAATTTGTGACTCCTAATGAACAGAGGACCTAATCCACAAATTAATTTGTGCAATGCTTCACATTTCTGTGCAATTTCCAAGCCTTTTTTCGTCTCCCACCTTAAAATGGGCACCAGATTTGCTTCCTACAGTCCTGCACTCTGGAAATGCTGGAAATGCACCCAGGATTGGTGTGGGACACAAAGCTTCGATGATTTTGAGACACAGAGAGCCTAATCTAGCAGAGCTTCTAGAGTGACAGCTTATTACAGTTCCTAAATCTGGATAATCCATGGGGCAGTCAGCATTTTTATAGCACTGAGCTTTCGTTCCATATCAGCATAATGAAAGCAGCAAGGACAGAGGAATCTGCTGGACATCGTGCCCTGGGTTTTCTTCTCTCTCCATCTCTGGCTGGAGGGGGGGATTAAAATGAAAGAGGTAAAATCTAAATAGAGAATGTAATTTCTCTTCATGTTTGAGGATTGTGGCACTGGCCAGATCTCATTCTGGCACAAGACACAGTTCAAACTGCACAACACAAGCACTGCTGAAAATCTGTGTTTTGTAACATTTGAGAAGCTGAAACTTCCTTCTTCCCATACAAAATTATCTACCTGTAAACCTTTATTACTTTACAGAAGCTTTTCCATGTACCTTGATCTGTTATATTCCTTCTTTTAGTAATTTTCTAAGGATATTTTGCACTGTTGACCTGTCAGCTGCCAAGCTGCCCCTGGAACTTGAGGCAAACAGGGCTTTGACTTCTTTGGACATGGCAAACCCCATGGTATTAATGTAATAGCAGATTTCAAAGACTTAAAATGCTGCTTTTACATCAGTGCCTGGACTACTGCTGCAAGGGAATAAAGCTGTGAATATCAAAAAAATTTCAATTTTTTCAAGCACAAATAAGGAGTTCAGCTACAAAGAGAGGGCAGAGGACTGATAGAGGAGGTTAATTTTACAAAGCTCAACTGCAGGGCCAGCAGGCGAAGCAAAAGGCAGGCAGCAGGGTGGCCTGTAAAGAAATAATAGGATGATAAAAAATGAAATTAATTGGGTGTAGAGGGGCAGATTTCACTTTTCTCGGACAAAGCACATCTGACCACTGACAACGCCAGATTTTGTCACTTCTGAAGACACGAGACCTGTGAGACACTTG